AAAAAAAAAAAAAAAAAAAAAGAGAAGTTCCTAAATGTAGCTGACACTATGTTACTCATTGTTTTCTTGCAGAAAAGCCTACTGGTGTTTGTTTATTAACAAACCAGGTCATTGTTCAGCTGGGTTTCATTGAGTGCCTTCTGTGTGCTTTCTCTTGCCCCTGGGGTGTTCAGCTGAGAAAGAAGTATGGATGATAAGCAAAGAAAGATGGAAACCCACACTTTATAGATTCATATGTGTCTGAGGTCACAAAATGGTGACTTAAGGGAAAAATCTGCTTCTAGACATGATTTCTTTGACTCAAACACTAATTTTTAAAAATGTAAACCAACAATTTAAAATCCAGAAATTTAGATTTTGCTTCCTCTTGAAAATGTACAGAGCTGGTCACACCAAATCAGGCCCTCCGTGGAGACAATGGAACAGTGCGGCACGGCTGCAGCCACTGCAGGCTTACCACGGGCGTGGCCCCATCATTCCTCATCCTCTCCCAAACACCAAGGCAGATAGGAAGTGCTGCTATCATCACATTTGTTATGCTTGCACTTAGGTAGCATTTATTGCATACCAGGCACTAGTCTAAGCATTTTGGTTAACTATCATCCATCTGTCTATCTGTCTGTCTATCTATCCATCCATCTTTCCATCTATCTATCTACCTAGCTACCTACCTATCTATCTATCTTAAAGGTAAGGAAGGCTGGGTGTGGTGGCTCACACCTGTAATCCCAGCACTTTGGAAGTCCAGGCGGGTGGATTGCTTGAGTCCAGGAGTTCCAGCAGCCTGGCCAACATGGCAAAACTGTGTCTTTACAAAAACCACAAAAAATTAGCCAGGTGTGGTGGTACATGCCTGTAACCCCAGCTACTTGGGAGGCTGAAGTGGGAGGATCACTTGAGCCTAGGAGATCAAGGCAGCAGTGAACTGTGATGAGGCCACTGTGTACCAGCCTGGTCAACAGAGCAAGACCTTGTTTCAAAAAAAAAAAATAGGCTAGGTGCGGTGGCTCATGCCTGTAATCCCAGCACTTTGGGAGGCCAAACTGGGTGGATCACCTGAGGTCAGGAGTTTGAGACCAGCCTGACCAACATGGTGAAACCCCATCTCTACTAAAAATAGAAAAATTAGCCGGGCGTGGTGGTGCCTGCCTGTGGTTCCAGCTACTTGGGAGGCTGAGGCAGGATAATTACTTAAACCCGGGAGGTAGAGGTTGCAGTGAGCCAAGATTGCGCCACTGCACTCCAGCCTGGGTGATAGAGTAAGACTCTGTCTCAATAAATAAATAAATAAACAAAAATAAAGGTAAGGAAAGTGAGGCACAGTTAGTGTGTGGTGGTCCAGGATTCAAACCCTGGCTGACTGGTTCTCCAAGTTGTTGCTCGTAACCGCTCAGCTATATCGAATCTCAGTACTCCTGTTGTGGGGAAGATATCAGGCATCAAGCCTAATAGAAATGTAAACTTGTACCTGAGTCTCTTTTCCAGGACACCATGTTCTGTTTAATTAGAGAGGGAGTCATAAACGAAGTGATTTTGTAGAATTTTTCTTTTTTTTTTTTTTGAGATGGAGTCTTGCTCTGTTGCCCAGGCTGGAGTGCAGAGGCATGATCTCGACTCACTGCTACCTCCAACTCCTGGGTTCAAGCGATTCTCCTGCCTTAGCCTCCCAAGTAGCTGGGACTACAGATGCCCACCACCACAGCTGGCTAATTTTTATATTTTTAAGTAGAGACAGGGTTTCACCATGTTGGCCAGACTGGTCTCGAACTTCTGACCTCAGGTGATCCGCCCGCCTTGGGCTCTCAAAGTGTTAGGATTACAGGCACAAGCCACCGCGCTTGGTGTGATTTTGTAGAATTTTAAAGACAAAGAGTCCAGGTCTGTTAAACACACCATACAAAGGCCTCTTTGGAGATGCCGGGGTAGCACATATTGAGAGAAAGCAAGGTTAACTTCACCGAAGACGGATGCAAACAGAAGCGCTGCAGCGGAGACCCATGACTTGTAGCTTGGATCAGATACCTGAGGAAAGTAGATTGACCTGGGTGCGTTAGGGAGGGCGGCAATAAGGCCCTGTTTGACCAAGGTGATGTGGGCTGAATCGGCATCCTTACAGGAGTCCTGCCGAACTTCATTCATTGCTTTCACAATATAAGTCAGTCGATTTTGTAACACAGGTGTCCCTATAATACTGGCCTGACTGTTTACTTCTGCTTCAGTCCCTGAGCATATGAGCAAATACTTCAGGCACTATAACGAGCAGAAACTTGAGACAGAGCTTATCTTGTAATGCTAGGTCTTGCATCATATCCAGGGTGTGGTGTTACTTTAGATGGCAAGTTAAATAATTACGTGTTTTCAGATTGAGCAAACAGTGCCTGTGCTCTGAGAAGGCTAAGGATCTATACTTTGAGAGCCCAGTGAATTAACTTATTCAGTGGGACAGTAGGCTCAGGACATGGGTATGTCAAATGGTCTCAATAAATTACATATAAAAACATACACACAGATACATACATATATGTGTGTATATAGATATGTATGTGTATGTATAGATATATACATATGCATGTGTATGTAGAGAGAGAGATATATGCTTATGTTAAATATTTATGTATCACCTTGTATATGATCATACTTACTTACAAAACAGCCCAGAAAAGCTTGGAGATGTTAAGTGAATCAATTAAAGCTAATTCGGGCAAGCCTCAGTCATTGACCCACCTAATATGTACCGTCTTTGTGATATGTGATATATTTAGTATAGTAGTTTGTGTTTTTGATGTTCCCTAACAACATAATAAAGTAAAAAAAAAAATGTTGAAAAACATGAGGGTCACCCTAAACTGCTTTCTTTAGAAAATACAAATGTGACATTCTTTTATTAGTTACATTATTGTCTTATTCTATTATTATTAATTCATTACATTCTTTTAAATAGCTACATTTTTCATTCTCTTATTCTGTTACTCTTTCTCTTGGACAGAGAGATTGGAACTGTGTCTTACTCTGTGTTTTTTAATAGGACTTGTCAACTATTGTCATGCAGTGAATGTTCATAAGCATCAGCAGTGATGAAAGGCAGCCCCACCCCTGCCTGGGCTCTGTTTCCTTGGTTTATTGCTCTTAGATAATTTCTTCCTTTTTCTATTTTTGCATTTTCAAGAACAATGCAAGGCATGATAGTTATCTGATTCCGTTCTTTTAAAACACACTTGAAATATGACAATTGCTTGTTATTCTAGCTTGATAACAAATCTAGGGGCAAACTATTGAGCACTGATTTGTCCTTTTCTTCCTCATTCCAACTACTATGGACCTAAAGTGGAGGGCTTTGACATTTTCTGCTTAATTGGGCTGCATGTCACTGCTGTTCTTAGAAGTGGCTCCGGGACGCAGGTGCTGGTTTCTTGGATCTCCTTTGCTGGAATTTTACGTGTCTTGTTTTGTTGCTGTACCAGCTTTGTGGATCAGCCAACATCCTTGACTTGCCCTGTGGGGAGTAAGGTAGGACACATCTTGGATTGCTCTATTCCAGGGGTGTCCAACCTTTTGGCTTCCCTGGGCCACATTAGAAGAAAAATTGTCTTGGGCTACACATAAAATACACTATCACGGCTGGGTGCAGTGGCTCACGCCTGTAACCCCAGCACTTTGGGAGGCCGAGGCAGGCAGATCACGAGGTCAGGAGATCAAGACCATCCTGGCTAACACGGTGAAACCTCATCCCTACTAAAAAATACAAAAATTTAGCCAGGCATGGTGGTGGGCGCCTGTAGTCCCAGCTGCTCGGGAGGCTGAGTCAAGAGAATGGCAAGAACCCATGAGGCGGAGCTTACAGTGAGCCAAGATCGAGCCACTGCACTCCAGCCTGGGTGACAGAGCAAGACTCCGTCTCAAACAAAACAAACAAGAAAACACTATTACTAAAATAGCTGATGGGCTAAAAAAAAAATAAAACAAGTCGCAAAAAAACCTCATAATGTTTTAAGAAAATTAATGAAGTTCCACTGGGCCACATTCAAAGCTGTCCTGGGCTACATGTGCCCTGAGGGCCGTAGGTTGAACAAACTTGCTCTATTCGCTTTGTAGTAGATGCCATCTAAGTGTGGGTCTCCTTTGCTTGGGTCATTCAGGTGTTCAGGACTTTTTATGCTCCTTTTGGAAGGTCCTCAAATGTCTCCATAAAGACATTTGGTGCACTTAAAGCTATGTTAGTGGAAGGATGAGATCACCTCCCAAAGGATGTGGGTCCTACCTTCTCAGAACCAGAAAAGGGAAGGCCATAACTGGAGCAGTAACCTACCGCAGCTGAGTCTCAGTTTCCTCATCTGTGAAGTGTGAGAGTCAAGCAAAATTGCCTCCAAGATCCTTTTCTGCTCGAATATTCATTGAGCCAAAGAAGGTTAAGAACACATATAAATTGAGAGTTCTATAATTTTAAGATTCATCTGGAAAAATGACACTGCCACCTCTGCCTCCTGGGGTGAAGTGATTCTCATGCTTCACCCTCCCCAGTAGCTGGATTTCAGGCACACGCCACCATGCCTGGCTACTTTTTTGTATTTTTAGTAGAGATGGGTTTTCACCATGTTGGCCAGGCTGGTATCAAACTCCTGACCTCAAGTGATCCATCCTCCTCGGCCTCCCAGAGTGCTAGGATTATAGGTATGAGACACGGCGCTTGGCTGGGATTGTCTCTTTAAAATGGAAATGCTACTATCTACAGAGCAGCATTGTTGTAAGGATTTAGTACATGTTCATAGTACATTTGAGGTGCTACAAGCCTAGCTGGCCCATAGCAGTCATTCTGAAAATGGCAAAAGTTACTAGGATGACAGTAATCTTATGCTTACTTGTGACCACATGGTTTTTGGACTAGCTAAGGGTTTGAAATAGATTCGATCTAAGGAAGATGACATATGCACAATTCTTTGAAGTAAAAGAAGGGCTAAGAAGGTAGAGCAGCTACTGAAATAAATGATGCAAAGGATGTGATTTTAAAAATTCCAATGAGGGTCTGGGCATGGTGGCTCATGCCTATAATCCTAGCACTTTGGGAGACCGAGGTGGGCAGATCACCTGAGGTCAGGAGTTTGAGATCAGCCTGGCCAACATGGTGAAACCCCGTCTTTACAAAAATACAAAAATTAGCCAGGCATGATGACGGTGCCTGTAATCCCAGCTACTCAGGAGGCTGAGGCAGGAGAATTGCTTGAACCTGGGAGGCAGAGGTTGCAGTGAGCCGAGATTGCACCATTGCACTGCAACCTGTGTGACAGGGTGAGACTCCATCTCAAAAAAAAAAAAAAATTCAGATGAGGGGCTCTGATGGACGAGATAATTTGTTCATTTATTACCCATGTATATACTTGTAACAGTGTCAATATTTTGATGAGAAAATCTCATCAGTTTTGTGCCTTGTACATGATTTATCTCCTGGACACAGTCATTCTTTTTATTCAATGATGGTGACAGGCCAGGCATGGTGGCTCATGCCTGTAATCACAGCTCAGGAGGCTGAGATGGGGAGACCACTAGAGCCCAGGAGTTGGAGACCAATTTGGGCAACATAGTGAGACCCCTGTCTCAAAAAAAAAATTAGCTGGATGTGCATGTACCTGTGTCTTCTCAGCTACTCAGGAGGCAGAGGCAAGAGGATCACTTGAGCCCAGAAGTTTGAGGCTGCAATGAACTATGATTGTGCCACTGTACTCCAGCCTGGGTGACAGATTGAGACTGTTTTTTTTTTTTTTGAAAAAAGATGGTATATTGATGACATGTTGTCTCAGTCCATTTTGCATTGCTACTCAATATCTATATCTATATCTATATCTATATCTATATCTAGAGAGAGATTTATTTGGCTCATGGTTCTGTAGGCTGTATCAGAAGCATGGCACCTGTATCTGCTCTGATGAGGGCTTTAGGAAGCTTTCACTCATGGAAGAAGGTGAAAAGGAGCTGGAGTGCGCAGATCACATGGCAAGAGGAGGAGCAAGAGAGAGGGAAGGGAGTTGCCAGACTGTTTTTTAAACATCAGATCTGGAGGGAACTAATAGAAGAAGAAGTCACTCTTTACCAAGAGAAAGGCACCAAGCCAAGCTTCATGTTTGGGCCCCAGGACTCAAACACCTCCCACCAGGCCCCACCTCCAAACACTGGGGATCAGATTTCAACATGAGATTTGAAAGGAACAAATGTCCCATATCACATGTGGTTACTTTTGTTATCCATATAGAGATGAATGTATCTGAAAAGACCAACCCAGGATAAGCAGTTTTTTTTTCCAATACTCAAATATGAAGATTGGCTTTATTTTGCAGCTACTGTCAATGTTTATTACACCTGTCAGGTTTATTGTTTCTGCAAACATCTTTTTTTTTTTGAGATGGAATCTTGCTCTGTCATCAGGCTGGAGTGCAGTGGCACAATCTCAGCTCACTGCAACCTCTGCCTCCCGGGTTCAAGCGATTCTCCTTCCTTAGCCTCCCCAGTAGCTGGGACTACAGGCACCTGCCACCAGTTTAGTTTAGATCTTCTTTACCTGGGCTCTCTCTTAGGAGATGTTTCATGTCCTTGAAATTCTTTGCAGAATTGCTTGTGTATGAGCATATTTGTATTTTGGGGGAATGCTGGCCAGAGAAAAGGGATCAGACTCAAAACAACAACAACAAGAACAAAAAAACACAAAAAAGCCAAGAATTGCCACTGAGAGTGTCTCAGACTAGGGAAGAATAAAAATGATGTCACAAGATGGAAAGATGGCATAACACAGGCACAGAGAGGTCCCTAAGTACCCATCTACTTCTGCAGCTTTCATACAACTTCCACATATTCTGCTCCCTCTAACACACAATGTAATGGTTGAGTCTCTGGCAAGTTTTTACGGTTTCAGATCAGCTCTTTATGACATAACCCAGGGTCTGGTTGAGTGGTCTGGAGGATCACTGGTGAATGGATGGATGTGGAGACTTTGCGCGTTTCCCTTTGTCCCTATAAAGGGCACCTTTGCTGTTTTACAGGAAGCCCAAAGTATCAGAGAATAAAGTTTCCAGGGAAATAAATGAAAATTGATTGGCTGGGTGTGGTAGCTCACGCCTGTAATCTCAGCACTTTGGGAGGCCAAGACAGGTGGATCACTTGAGGTCAGGAGTTCGAGACCAGCCTGGTCAGCATAGTGAAACCCCATCTCCACTAAAAATTCAAAAATTAGCTGGGTGTGGTGGCATGCGCCTGAAGTCCCTGCTACTTGGGAGGCTGAGGCAGGAGAATCGCTTGAACCCGAAAGTGGAGGTTGCAGTGAGCTGAGATTGTGCCACTGCACTCCAACCTGGGTGACAGAGTGAGACGCTGTCTCAAATAAAATAATAATAATAAAAGGCACAACCTTTATTATATCCCTAGTGTCAGGATGTGGAACATCTTAAGGAGATGTTGACTGCCATAAATCTAGACTGGGAAAGAAAGTGGATTTTAGATGAACCTGATTTGAAATACAAAACTTCTCTTTTAAAAAGGGAAAGAGATAAATAAATAGAATTTGCTAAGCCTGTGTTGAGTCCAAAGTTACTATTAATCTATGAGGGAGTCAAAAACGCAAAGTTCATTCATTCAAAAAATTACTCTGTAATGCATGCTGGACATAGAGGTCTGGAAATTTACCTTCTGGTCTGGGAGACAGACCTCACATACATGAAAAACTAAGGGGTAATCCGGTATAATCAGAGAAGGGGAAGTCAGAAGAATACATCAGATCATCAACAGACAAATATCCAATGTCCACCAAAATATGTTTTATAAACCCACATAGTAACATTATTTTTAATGTGTGTGTGTGTGTGTGTGTGTGTGTGTGTGTCCTTTGAAAGCTCTGGAAGAAAACACATTGAATTGATGATCATGGTTAACCTTTGGAGAGAGAGAGGAGACCAGGATGAAGGAGCCAGTCCAAGGTATCCTTAGTTTGATGTGTTTTGCGTTGGTTTTGTATTTGGTGTTTTACGCTGGTGACTGGGAGTCTGGAGGCCGTTTTCTTCTGCAGAAAGCAGTTGAGGATTTTGTAAATATCCTGCCTTCTTCTAATAGACCACATGACTTCCTGGTAGTTGGAGGTCCAGGGAGCTGGGTCTTTCCATTTTTTGAGTTTCCAGCATAGTAAAAAATGAAGAAAGCCAAAAGAATGTTACAGCCAGCACAAGCACCGTATATTTTTAATGTTTATATTTAGCTGTTAAAGTTGTGTGATGAATCCTTCCCGTGGACTCTTGTTGGCATGTCTCTATGAGACCATCCAAAGACTACATTTTAAACCTTGAGCCAATGGCCCGCCCGCTCCCTCCTCCAAGTGACCCTGTTGCTGGCCCCAAGGAATCAGAAAAAGGCCTTGTATAAAACAGGCTGGCTGACTGGTGATGGGAGGGTGGTGGAGGCATGTTCTAGTGCCTTCAGCTCTTTCCCCAGGGTGTAAATTCTCTCCTAGGCAGTTGGATCTAGAGTTTCTCTCCTGCAAAATGGGTTTATTTCAGAACTATCTGCTGTTCTACAACAATGAATGGAAAAAATTTTACCTTCCTAACCATCCTCCCCGGCCTCCATTGAGGGCATTTAAGGTCAAACAGGCTTTTAATACACACGCTGTGCCCGCTCCGCCCAACTCTCCCTCCCACCATGCCCAAGGAGAGAATTTGGGCCAAATGTATCACTGCAGTTTAACAGACCTGTAAAATGTCCAACCATTTTCTTTTTGAAGTAGGAAATGTTCATCCTGAGAAAAAGTTGCAGAGACATAAATATTAAAAATATGCATCTATTTCACCTTATAGAAAGGAAATGGATCTCGTTTTAAAGTCTTTACGTCTGTACTCGGTGACATTTTTGCATAAATATCTAGAGAATTAATAGCTTCAGCCAATTATGAACACACTTTTGAGATGTTTTAAAGGAGTCTGTCCCTCCAGTCTACCTCTTTTTAATATTGTATTAAGAGTTTTATATAATCTAAAGTGTTCTCATTATGAAAGCACTAACTTGTCATTTGAAAGAATAGATTCATCTCTCCAAAGTGAACCAAATGCTAATGCACATTTTATTGGATGAAAAGACAAACAACATAATTATACTTGAATTTCAGGGAATCAAAAGTAGTACAACAACAGCGTGTGCACCAGACTCCAGGGCAGGGTTCGTAAGTTAGCTATACGCATGCTCATTTTTCCAAGCTGGGGAAGTTTGCTAAAATGAGCTGAGGGCTACTTCACCAGACTGACAAAAAGGAAAATGTCTATCAGTTTTTCTTTTGTTCTCTCTAGATCCTGCTCAAGTGTACACTGAGCCAGCAGGTTCACCAGAAAGCTATTGAGCATTTGCTGGAACACATTATGCAGGGTGAATTTCTTCTGGAATGTTGCCAAGGATTTTTTATGCTTCTGTGGCAGGCATTTCTTGAACATTGTCATTTAGCCAAGCAAAGAAGATTTGCTTAAAGGATAGAAAATGTTTAAAAATTTTTGTTTGTTTAAAAATAGGTTAACTGGCAATATGATCTCAGGATAAGACAGAGAAAAGCACTTATTCCTCTAAGTGATCTGATTAGGTTAGTGATCTTTTGCGTTTAAACAGATTCATCGTTATTCCTAAAGTATTGCTATATTAATACTGTCTTCTAGAAAGTATCCCCCAGTGCCTACTTTTCTTTGATATCATTAGCTGTTTTTCGAAACTGAATTTGCTCTTCAGAGATTTCTCATATGTTTGCCTATAAGGAACTACTGGTAATAGCCAAGAAAATTTGGAGGTGCAGAGAATATGCTGAAATAGAATTTTTCACTTTCAATTCTAGAACTATGCCATAAAAAATAAAAACAGAAAATGTAAAAATGTCTTCATATTAGAGCAGATATTTTAAAAGTATTGCAAGTTCAATGATAAATTCTAAGGTTAAAATTGGACACATAAAAAAATATAATATATAAATATCTCCCCAGAAATCATTATCTAATGAATAGTAAAAGCTGACTACAAACCATATCATTTTAACAAGGGTTTAACTATTACCAAGATTCTCATCATATGCTCTGGGATACCCAGTGATATACAAGGGTTCTCTCTAAACATGGGGAGGAAAAATTCCAAATGTTAGGATGTGAATCTTGTCTTTGCCATTCACTAGCTGTGTGATCTTGGGTAAGTTACCTGGATTCTCTGAGCTTCAGTGTCATCTGTAAAGCAGGAATAATAATACCTAGCTCAGAGGCAGGCGCGGCGGCTCATGCCTGTAATCCCAGTAGTTTGGGAGGCCAAGGCGGGTGGATCACTAGGTCAGGAGTTCGAGACCAGCCTGGCCAAGATGGTGAAACCCTGTCTCTACTAAAAAAAAAAAAAAAAAATTGCCGGGCATGATGGCAGGTGCCTGTAATCCCAGCTACTCAGGAGGCTGAGGCAGGAAAATCGCTTGAACCCGGGAGGTGGAGGTTGCAGTGAGCCGAGATCTCGCCACTGCACTCCAGCCTGGGCGACAGAGGGAGACTCCGCCTCAAAAAAATAAATAAAATTAATAAATAAAAATAATACCTAGCTCATGGGGCTGCTGTGGGTGGTTGTGAAGTATCTCAGTGGTACCTACATGTTGTAAAGGCTTATGACTATGTTAGCTCCTTTCTCAACTTCCTCAATTCATTCCACCACTACAAGTCAATCTAGAGATTAAAATAGGCAAAACCGTGATCTTCGTTAGGATGGGGTTGAGTGGTGGTTTGTTTCTGACTGCTTCGTTTTATACTTATATTTTAAATATACAAGTTTTTGTAAACATTCTTAAAACAGATCTGTTTTTATTTTGATGAAAATTGGACTGATTCTGATATAATGTTTGGAGAACTAAATTGTATGCAGAATTTTGTCTCTGAAGAGTTAACTCTATCATGAAAATGCACTCGGTGAAAAGTAAACTTGATGCCACCTTTCCATACATGGTATTATGCGTATTTGAATGGACACCTATGGAAAAACATAGCAATTCTTCTTTTATGCCCCTAAATCCTATGGAATTTGCCGCCTCCTGTATTCAAGTTCGGGCTGTGATGGTAAACTTGGTTCCCTTCAGCTTAGTGTTGTTAAGTTCTTGGCACGTTCCCACAGCTGAACCTCCTGTCTGTAACCTGCACCTGCAGTTCACAGGATTCAGCTCGGAGAGCTCTGTACTTCCAGGCCACTCAGGTAGTTGTTAGTGCAGACTGTAAGTTTCTACCCCACAGTTTCTCTGCCAGTTTAGATGCTGCAAACGTTTGGGTTTTGCAGTTTCTGCAATTTTTGTTTGGGTTCTTTAAAAACAGCTCTTCCCCCACCCCTGGCACACCACCATCTCTCCAAGGCACTCATTGTGAGATGGGAAGCCTGGCGCCTGTCGTTTGTATTCCAGCTAGAAACTAGCAGAATTGAGATTTTCCTCCCTTTTTAGTGCCATGACAAACAAAAGAGGATATGACATGTATTTATTGTTTGGTGAAATGCAAAAGTATCAATTCCAGGAGATGTTGCATTTCCCTCGTCTTTGCCTTGAGTTGTTTATGTGAACTATGACCCTGTTTGTAAGAGACAGGGAGAAAGTATGAATTCGGTGGGAATGACAGGGTTTAGGGGGGCGGGGTGGGGAGGAGGAGGTGGTGTGGGAAAACAACTCTCTCTTTTGCCATAAGGCATCCAATTCCTGGAAAGAGCACGGTTAATGGCAAATAAAATTTCCTGGTCTTTGGGGCCAAGATTTGTGTTGTGTGAGTGTGCTTTATAAGCCTGTCACTGTTACATGCAGGCTGATGCTTTTATGGCTGTCTTTAGCCTTAGCTTTTGTGGTGCTTCCGCCTGGACAGTATGCTCTTCCAAAGCAACTGTGGCTCATTGAGAGACCAGGCTAAAGCAAAAGAGCAGATAAACAAATTCATAAGAGTTATTTATTTATTTATTTTTTGAGATGGGGCCTTGTTCTGTCACGGAGGCGGGAGTAGAGTGGCACGAGCACGGCTCACTGCAGCCTTGACCTTTGGGCTCAAGCAATCCTTACACCTCAGGACCCCACACTCAGCCCCCCTAGTAGTTGGGACTACAGGTGCGTATCACCACCCCTGGCTAAGTTTTAAAATGTTTTGTAGAATCAGCATCTCCCAATGTTGCCCAGGCTGGTCTCAAACTCCTGAGCTCAAGTGATCCTCTGGCCTTAGCTTCCCAAAGTGCTGGGATTACAGGCATGAGCCCTGCACCCAGCCACAATTTAATTTCTTTAAAAAACCATTTCAAAAGAGAATGTCAGAAAAACATGTGGCCAAAACAGCACCCGCCCTTAAACAGATTCTTGATTGAGGGGTGGAGCTGGAGGCAGATGTAATATGTCAATAGGGGTTCTTAAATATTCTAAAATAATTATTGGAAAGATAGTACTGAGGATGGATGGGTCAGTCTGATGCTTCTTGATCACAGTGAGGCTTGAGTTAAGGTCTAGGGAGTTTTCAGCACGGGCATCAGAATTTCTTTTGGGTCCCTGTTCTCCTTTGCAGTGGTTTGAGACATGTCTTCTTCGTGATGCTTGTGAGAGAGTAAAGGAGGACTCTCCTTTACAAATGCAGATAGCCCAGAGTGGAAAGGGCTGTAGAAGAGGTGTGTACCTGCCACACTCAGAGCAGCCAATCCAGAAAGGCTTCATTGAGGAGGTGCTTTGCAAATAACTAGATAAACAGGAAGCGAGGAGGAAGTGGTGGTGACGGGATCCTGTGGAACTAGTTTGGGCAAAGGAAAAAAGCGTATGAAAACTAATAATAATAAGAGTGCCTAGCACTTGTTGAGAGTTTATTACAGGCAGCTGCTCTGCTAACTATTTTGCATAGATTATCTCATTTAATTCTCACAACCACAAAAAAACTTTGGGTCCAATTTCATCCCCATTTTAATCCAGAGAAAATCAAGGTAGAGCAAGGCTATGCAACTTACCCTCAGTTGCACAGCTAGTAAGTGGTAGAACCAAGATTTGAATCTCAGAGTCCAGTCTCTTAACCTGTTTTTGCAGAAAGGATCTGCTCTGTTTGGGCCCTATTAAGGAGCTTGGTAAACTTAGAGCCTAGCCTGCTTCCTAGGTGGGAGATGGTTGGATTTTCACCCGGGAAGTGATATATTTCCTAATCACAAGCCTGATCAGAATTTTGCAACTGGGGTTTTTGGAGTGGGGGGCCATGAGGAATGGGAGGGTGTAAGACTTTAGTGATTTAAAAAATTCTTTTACTTATCTCTGTATGGGAGTAAAATTTTTCCAAAAATTTTCTTAATTTTTCTTCTAGGCATATGTGTATGTGTGAAAGGTAACTTGTAGGTGGCCTGGGAAATTAGTTGTGTGTGTGGGAGGGCATGCTTGGGGGCGGGGGTGCACAGTTAGAAGTTAGAAGGCAAGACATACCAATGATGTTGGTGACGACAGCGAATATTTAGTTAAGCACTTATGTACAGTGGAACTTATATGCTACTCTGTTCTTATTTAATCCTCTCAATGGCCTGAAAGATAATCATACTCTCAACTTTCAAATTAAGAGACTAAGGTTCTCAGAGGTGAAATAGCTTGTCCAAGGTCACACTGCTGGTAAGAGGCAGAGCCAGGATATGGGTCTGTAGGATTTCAGAATCTTTTTTTTTTTTTTTTTTTGAAATGGAGTCTTGCTCTGTTGCCCAGGCTGGAGTACAGTGGCACGATCTTGGCTTGCTGCAACCTCTACCTCCTGGGTTCAAGCGATTCTCCTGCCTTAGCCTCCCAAGCACCTAGGGTTACCAGTGTGAGCCACCACACCTGGCCAATTTTTGTATTTTAGTAAAGATGGAGTTTCACCATGTTGGCCAGGCTGGTCTCAAACTCCTGACCTTAACTGATCCACCCACCTCAGACTCCCTACATAGCTGGAATTACAGGCGTGAGCCACCGGGCCTGGCCTGATTTCAGAATCAACCCTTAAACTCTGACAGCATGAGCTAGTGAGGGAGGCAAGCATACCCAGAGAGGTCTTAAGATGCCTGAGGTGCCAGGAGAGCATGGAGATGTCTGGGGGAAAGTATTATAAATATATACATTTGGAAACTTGGAAATTGACATACGATAATGGACTTTAGGAAATGAATGTGTAGAGGAAGAAGTCAGGTGATGCTGGTGTCCTGGGACCACTCCACGGAAGGAGAGGACACTGAGAATAAGAGATCTTTGAAAATCGTGATGGGCATGAAGACCCCAGCCTGGGCCCCACCACTTACTCACTCTCACCTGGCATCTCAATCTCTGCATCTGTAAAAACGAAGAAAATAATCCACCTCCCTGGATGACTTCATTTTTGTACTCGTCCGTGAGGTGCTGTACATAGACGTGCTGTAAGGACTAAAAGTTCTTCACAATAGGATGTGTAGGAAAGCAAGCAGAGAGTAGTGGAGGAGGCTGAACCCAGCACATGGGCTGAGGATGCTGGGAGGGAACAGGATTGGGGGCTGAATTCTAACGGGGGGAAGCTACTGAGCTGCTCCTGTAGGTTGGGCCTAGATGGAAACCCTGGAAGCAATAACTCCAAGAAAGATTCAAAATGTGGGACAAGAAGAGCAAGAACCAGGAACAGAACAACTCCAAGGAACATGAGTGAAGAGGTTGGTGCTGCAGAGGAGCCCTGGCTGGGGTCTCTAAGTCAGGGATTCCAGCTCTGACCCTAACAGGT